ATATATATATATATATATATATATATATATATATATATATATATATAATTTCTTATTTAGCACTTCATATTATTTAAGGCCTATAACCTAAAATATCCTAGTGTTTGTATCTATTCATGTATACAACCTAAACTATCCTAGACACACTCCTCACCACCATTACTTAACTTCTAAGTTTAAGTCTAGAAATCCTATAAATTCTTAGATCACTTAAATTAATGCTCTAATACCAACTGTGACATCCTCTAATTTTCAGAACCAATTAAACTTTTCTTTACACTTTAAAAATCATTTACTTATATTTGTGAAAATCCCAGTACAAAAGATCATTTTGATTATGAATTTTTGTTTCCAAAATGTTAAAACCCTAAGGATGTCATAATCAATATAGATACATAAGTTATAGCGTAAAGACCTGGTGGTCCTGAATACTATTGCAGGTTGTCTCATAATCATTCAGCATCCTAATCAAGTTTCATTGGCTTAAGTCTTGATACATGTGATTCATATGAACTGAGTGGGCCGGGTTGTGGAAACATGGTGAGATACATAAGGATACAATCCCATGCATGATATTGATATGATAATATTACATAATTATCAGACCCTTGCAAACCAACTGTTACCATAAAATAACCATTCCTACATATTCATTCCTATTGATCCTCATAGATCCTAGACTATCCATTTCTATCGATCCTCACAGATCCTAGACTATTCATTCTATCGATCCTCACAGATCCTGAATAGTGATTATCAGAGAGAATTTCATCTCGTCGGATGAATCATTGACTACACAGCTAGGGGCATCCTTGTCGTTGTAAGTCATAAAGGCTTATGGGTTGTCAGAGTATTTAATGAATATTGTTTTCCAGTTCATCTAATGCTGTGAGTAATGAGCTCACATTAGTAACGTAATTCACAAGACCGTCTAGAATGATCAAGTGTTGTCACCTACTCTGTGGGGTGACCAAACATGCCGATAACAATTACTTGATTAGGACCCACCATTTCTGGTCATCCCATACGGAGAAACCGTACATCAATACCTGATAGTGTCATGGAACAGAACTTTACTCTTTGTTCCTATGTTACGCATTCTCCAAATGAGACTACCTAATATCAAAACTTAATTGAGCTAGGTATCTTCCATTAGTCTAAGTTTATCCCTAGACCAGATCAAAGTGCCTATAACCAACTTTTAATACCAAGATTATTCTTGGGTGGCATTAACCTATCTCTAGTGTATTTATATTCCCTACAGAGAATTAGGTATTATTATTCCTTTATCTTATCAACAAACTTACCTTTAATACTATTATATGATGTCATATATTTAATCCTAACATCAAATAGAACTATATCTGGTTTGCACATAACACTAATATATATATATATATATATATATATATATATATATATATCCTAACATATAATCTAGGCAATAATTACATAATCACGTAATTCACATACGACTTCCATTAGATATCTAATATTTTAATTAATACTTATATTAAATCATGTTCATGAAAGGGACAATCCATTCACTTGATAAAATAGGTGACTGGTGATCTGGCCAGAGCTTTGTCTAACATCTCAGATATTCCTTGATGTGACCTAAGTATAATTACTACAGAGTTATAGTCTAATGATCCCGGAGACTAAGAATAGTCTAGATCCTCACTAATCTCAATGTCTATATCAAGATCTATCAAGTAAGGATCAGTCTGGCAGGACAGTTGGGAGTCAGGATCATTTCGGCATAATAGCTTTTCTAAAATCCAACAACCAAGCCAACATAACCATTCTAGACACCTCTCACATAAGTGGATCAATCAGTATAAAGACATAGAATTACTGATAAATTTTATTTATAGGTTCATAATAACGACTTATGACTATAAACATAAGTTACACAGAAAAGACTAGAGTGCAACTTAACTTATAGAGGTTCTTCCTGACAAAAGTTAGGAAATTGAACTGGCAAAGCTTCTACTCGCTAGCTACTACTTCTTCAGGGATCGTAGGTCTTCACCAAAGTCTAAACTAAGGAAATTGGCTAAAATCGAGAGAATTTTGAGAGAGAGAGAGAGAGAGAGAGGGAGAGAAAGGGGGGAGGATGGGGAGTGAAGAAGCAAATGATCAGCCGAAATCTATTTATAGCACAATTGTACGTCGCGTACACCTAAGATGCATCTCCTCCCATTTTATGCCACGCGTTGCAAATATGGTGGTACACCCCCCCCCCCCCACCTTCTAGAAGGTGTGTGTCATGCAACCCATCTGCACGTGGCGCTTCTTAGAAAACTTTAGAAAATCGTATCTTCTTTATACGAGCTCCGTTTTCGACGTTCTTTATATCTCCGGAAAGCTTTCGATAAGATCTACAACTTTCGTTTAGACTCTGTTGGTTATTTTTGACTTTATTTTTAAAGTTATATTTTTTAACAGGCTTAAACCGGTAAAGTTCATTAAAAATTCATAACTTTTTCATATGATATTCGTTCTTGACTGTCTTTATATTGATAGAACCATATGGATAAGATCTTAAACCCTTGTTTAGATTCTTTTTCCTAACAGTCAATTGATTTCTACTTCGAATTCTGAGTCGTATATTGCTACACTGAAACTTCTGAAAATCCTAATTTCCTCTTATAAAGTCAGATTGGGGCGTGCTCTATATATACGATCTCGGTTTAACAACTCCTACGACTTTCATTTAGATTATTTGCCCTAACTAATACTTTTTTGGTAATATCTAATTATAGTTGCGACTAATATTTATTTCATTTATTCTTTAATCATCTAGCCCTATCTTACGGGCGGTACAGGTAAATTGGCAGCAATGTTTAGCTAGTTTCAAAAAAGGAGGTCTTGGGTTGAGAGGGTTATCAACATGGGATAAATGGTTGATTTAATATAGCCACGAATGGTGGAAGTGGATCTGGAGTTTTGGATAATATTGTTGTTGTTATTCATAAAATGAATGATGGTAATATTGTCATGTTATCTTCCTTAGAAAAAAAGACTTGGAAGAGGTAATATGATATTTTTGGTGTGATGTTTGGATTGATGATCAACTGTTTGCTACAAGAAAAAAAATAGGTTGTACAATCTTGAAGTCGTCAAGTATATGTGGTAAGTGATAGATGGGCTAATAAACATTGGGAGTGCAACTGGAGGAGACATGTTCGGGGTGGTTGAGAAGAAGAGCAATATAGATTGATGTTGGAAGTGCTTCATGGTGTAGGGGTGACGGAGTCGTCGAATTGATTGTGGTAGGATCTAGATTCGAATCATGACGTTTCAATAAAGGTGATGAGACAATATATAGAAGATGTGTCTATGGTGTCTGCTGAGGTCCAAACAAGGTGGTGTAAAATACTTCCTAAGAAGGTAAATATTTTTGTTTGGAGATTCATGTTAGATAAATTACCGACACAGTTGAATTTATCAAAAAAAAAAAAAAAGGTATGAAATCGCAGTCAATTTGGTGTCCTCTCCATGGTATAGGATGTGAATTTGTCAATCACCTTTTTTGACAACTATGAAGTGGCAGGGGTGATATGGTCATTTGTTGCTCGACGGTGTGGTTTTAGATTCGCTAATTCATCTTCAATTAATGAATGGTTGTCATGGGTGGAGGATCAAAATATTTGTCGTGTTAAGAGGGATCGGTTAGAAGTGATAATAATTACGACGTGTTTGATCATTCGGCGATTCTACAATTCAATATTTTTTTATGGTGTTCAAATTAGAAAAAATAATTTGTTTATATTACAGAAGTCTTTTTATAAGTTAAAATTTGAGATTCTAAATCCGTTGTTGTTTGAAATGTTTGGCTTTTGAACTCTTTGTTCATTCTTGCAAATTGCTAGAATTGTGATTGTATGATACGGTAGATGAAAAAATGATGATACTTGTAAATGATGATACTCAAGTAAGATGGACATATCAAAAACTTGTTAAGATGGTTGTTGTCTTGTTGAGTTTATCCCTTGTATGCCTTTAAATTAATACAAGTTATTTCATCTCTTAATTGAATCCATTTGCATTTTGAATCCATTATAATCCATATTCTATATACACATTTATTATTCGGTCATAAATCGGTTTTGCCACCGAGGTTAGAAAACCAACACCAAACCGTACCATATACATAAATTTGATTTGTTTTCAATTTGTACAACATTCTAAAGTCTGATTTAGATCACTTCTCATAAATTATATTTTTCATTTATTATCGTATTCAAGCACTCCTTTAACATCCTTGCTACAACTTATATTAAGTTACTAGTTGTGAGATCCGTATATTATACGGGTTAATTAAAACAAAATGTTAAGTACGAACGATTAAATAAAAATTTTATTTGAATTTGAAATTGAAATAAATAAAAATTATATGAAAAAAAAACATGCAAAAAATAAATAAATTAAAATTATGTGTTTAGTGTACTAACCGAGTTAATTATAACAAAATATTAAACATAAAGGTTTAAAATGTAAATTTATTTGAAATTGAATTTAAAATTTAAAATTTAAAATTAATAGTCATTATGGTAGTTTTAATTTATGGAAACTAAATTAATGATAGATTGAAAATGAAAATTGAAGCAATGACAAGTGGAAAATAAATATATATCTCAAAATTATGACAAAATTACATATGGTTAATTTTATGAGAAAATGGCATGTGGCAAAAATCATTTTCATTTATTATGGTAGATTAAGCACTTCTTTAACTGTATCCTAGATTATATTTTTCATTTATTATCGTATTCCAACAACACTCCTTTAACATTCTCACTACAACTTATATTAAGTTATTAACCACTTCTTTAACTATATCCTATATTAAGTTTATTATTAAAACTTATAACAATATTTAAAAAAAAAAAAAAAAAAAAAAAAAAAAAAAAACGGGAAAAAAATACAATAAGGACCAACTTATAAATTTGATGTTTATTTAATATTTATCAAATAAAAAACTCATACCGATCTCACCATGTATGCATTAACTTCCAACCATCAGGAAAAGGTTTATTATCATCTCTAGAAAAATAAAAACCATCCTTCCTTACTAACCAATAACATCTGTTTATAGAGTATTCATCCCCACATAAAAGTGACACTTCTATGTCAAAAGCATTAAAAGTTGCATTTTTTAATTCTTTACTATCGGGTGTCATCCAATGAAAAGTACAATAGAAAATTGTTGTTAACATGAAATTTTGACGAAACATCCAATGAAAATATTGATTGGGTGTTAGATTCTTATCACCAAGGTCGTCATCTTTCGACTTGCAATGAACCATTAAGTTATCAACTTCTGAATCTGTGATGTATACAGCGTAGAGATCCAAGTAGTTGCTTCTACTGCGATTCTCTACCTTAGGAAAAGCATATGCACCTCCTATCAAGATCAAGAGATTGAACATAACAATAATAAGAAACCGTTGTTTAATTGTGAAATTCATGATAGGTAATGTAAACTATGATTTTTTTTATGGTTCTTTTTAAATAT